CATCAGATCTGTAAACATCAAGCCCTTCGACTTGCAGCTCCCCTTCCTCTGGACAGTATTGAGCATCAACGACCTAAGCTTTACTGCCCCTGACTCTGGCTCCTCGTCAGACTCCTTGTCTACAGCAGCCAGCTTACCCTTCTACGGGTAATTGCATGCTATGTGGCTCCCTCCACATAGGTAGCATGCTAGTGGCTTTCGATCCTCCTTTGTTTTCAACTTGCCTGCTGGTGGCTTCCTCTCACCATCCTTGGTTGAATGGTCTCGGTCTCCATCCTTGGACTCCCGATCATAATCCTTCCCCTTGGACTGCTTCTTTCGGTCCCTATCCTCCGTGCCCTTACACTTGGGCTTGGAAGACTTGAACTTGTTCAGAGGCTTGAACTCTATCAAGGCCTCGACAGTAGTCATGGCTTTAGCCAAGTCATGAACTCCTCTCCATTGTAGCTCATGCTTCACCCACGGCTTCAGCCCATCCATGAAAGCAAATAAGGTGTTCTTCTCACCTAGATCTGAGATCTGTAGCATCAGTTCAGAGAATTTCTGGACATACTCCCTTATGTCCCCTTGCTGGCTCAACCTTCACAACTTTGCTCACGCCTCATCAACGGCATACTCCGGGTAAAATTGTTCTCTGAACTCCTTTTGGAACTCTGCCTAGGTTCCAATCTTAGCGCTCCTATGCCTGACATCATTACACCTGTGCCTCCACCATAATAAGGCTACATCAGTGAGATACATAGCAGTGGTGCTTACCTTTATCACCTCATCTTGCATGCCTATGGCCTGGAAATACTACTCCATACCCCAAAGGTAGTTGTCTACTTCCTTGGCTACCCTAGTCCCCTTGAACTCCTTAGGCTTGGGGACATCCAATCTGGATTTGGACACTTTGGCAAACATGCCATTCCCAATGGTAGTCTTGCAAGCAACGAGCTCACTGGTAAGTTTCTCCATCCGCTTACGCATGGCCTTCATGCCATCGCGCAAGGTCAGCACTTCAGCCTCCAAGGTTTGATTCTTTTGGGTGAACACATTCAAGCCTTTATTGGGAGTAGCTTGCAGCTCACTTTGGATCTCCTCCCCCATGGAGTCTAGTGATGCAATGTGAGTCTCTACCCCTTCAAGCTTCTCCCCCATGTCGCCCATGGTCACCTCCACCTAGGCCAACCTACCGTCCATGGTAGACCAGATGTCTTTAGAACTGGCTTTCCTCGCTTTTCCATACCCATGCTTTTGGGCCTCTGGTTGTTGGTTAGCAGCATCTCTTTGGGATGCCATCTCCTCAATCACGATCTAACTTGCATAACACAAACATGCAGAATCAAACTTGCTCTGATACCAACTGTCACGGGCTCTGACCTTAGACTCAGAATCCGTGCAGCCTTAGGCTTGGAATCTCCTCCTTTATGCCTAAGTCAACCCAAAACACAAGTGTGTGGGCACTAGAACAATGGGAAGGGCTGATTACACAAGTTAAAGAGAAACAGGATGAACAAGGCAGAATGCTGGAATATGCTATGTATTCACTGAAACAGAAGTGTTTGATGGTGTAGAAATGAGGGCGGAGCAGCCCTCTATTTATAGTTGAGGCTCCAGCTACACTTAATGGCAATATCCCTAGAATAAAGGCTAAAATCATGGGATTATACAGATTACAATCAATCAGGATGCTAACTCCTGATTTTCAGGGTCAAATAAATCTGCTAGGATGCTCCTGCTGATCCTGCCTACTTTCAGAAGCTTCACTTGCATATCTAGCACCTTGGGCCCTTTTGGATGTGGTACGGGCAGCTTGTATACCAGGCCTTGGTCTCACGGGCTGGCCTGCAAGCTAGGTGGGTGTTCTGAACTCGTTTGTTGCTAGGCTTTGCATGTAGATACCCGCCAGTATGCCTGGTTTGTGGGCCTCAACCTCTGGCTCGCCTGCTGGTGCTCCTGATGTGCCTGGCGTGCTCACCCAGGGCATGACACCTACACCAAGACCCAGCATGTGCCGATGGTGTTCGACGCAACCGCCCGCATCAAGGGCCATCTTCTATCGATGGTGGTCGAGGCAAGTGCCCGCACCAAGGGTCGGCTTGTACCCATGGTGCCCGAGGTAACCACCGGCACCAAGCCACATCAGGGACCATCTTCTACCAATGCTGATTGAGGGATAGCATGTGCCGATGGTGGTCCAGGCAAGAGCCCATACCAATTGCCAGCTTGTGATGATGGTGGTCAAGGCATGTGCCCGCACCAAGGCCTAACACTTATCGATGGTGCTTGAGGCAACCGCCTGCACCAAGGGCCATCTTTTATCGATGCTCATCGAGGCATGCATGTGTCGATGGTGGTCAAGGCAAGTGCCTACTCCAAGGGCCAGCTTGTGCCGATGGCGGTCGAGGCAAGTGCCTGTACCAAAGGGTTGCCTGTGCCGATGATGGTCGATGCATGTGCCATCACCATGCGCCATCATGTGCCTTTGATGGTCAAGGCCTTGACCGAAGTTTGATTTTGAACCACGGTGCACATGCTGGGCTCGGGCATGTGTCGGTGCCATATTTTTTTTGCTCGAGGCACTATCGTCAGAGCATCATCGGAGAACATGACCGGCGACATTGAGGGTTCCGACGATTGAGGGTCCGGGGGGCTGTGAGCACATGATGTGTGATGGGTGCTTGTACTTGGCCCTTATATTGACCCCCTATCCCTTAACAAACCTCAACAACTCACACCCCCTTAAAGAGCATATGAGATTTTACAGGTTTGTTGCCAGTAACCATTCAAGTGTCTGAAATGGGGACACTTTTTTAAAATGGCCACAAAATCTTCTACACTTTAAGTTTTTAGCTGAATTTTTTTGTGCGTTGTAGAAAAATTACAAGGATAAGATCTACCAATTTTGGGGACAAAAATCCTTCTAAAAAAATTTTAAAAAATCCCGAACCATAAAAAAGTTCAAAAATCATGAAAAATAAAAAATGAGTCATCTTGCCATGAAACTTCACACGAAGGCTAAGGGGACCATTGTATGAATTTACAAGCCCTAAAAATGGCATTGGCATGGTAGAAATATAAAGATGTGCCTAAACCCACCTACCACCTGATCGTGGTGTGCATGTGCTCGACCCAGGCTCAGGACACCCGCGCGTGGTGTGCGGGCACTAGGGAGTGCTCATATGAATTCACAGGCCATAAAAATGGCATTGGCATGACAGAAATATGAAGATGTTCCTGAACCCACCTACCACCCTGTCGTGGCAATCATTTGTGCTCAGTCCGGGCAAAGGACACCCGCACGTGGTGCGCGGGCATTGGGGAGCGGTCATATGAATTCATGGACCATAAAAATGGCTTTGGCACTATAGAAACATGATGATATCCCTAAACCCACCTACTGCCCGATCGTGATGTGCAGGGTGCACGACCCGGGCCTAGGTGCGGTCACTTAGTGCGTAACCCAGCATGGGCCGATACTGCTCGAGGGAACTACCCACACCAAGGTCCAGCATCCACCGATGGTGGTTGAAGGATGTGTCGAGACCAAGGGCCAACATGTCTCGATGGTGGTCAAGGCATGTGCATGTGTCACGGTCAGCAAGCAAGCTGGGATTGGCCCCAGGGCTATAGTGGGATAGGGTCCGACAGTCGAGCGGACTAGGCCTTGAGGCCTACTCAAGGTGCAGGTCACAAGGAACTGGATCAGGACAGTGGTACAAGCAGTGATCAGGACTCTAGGGGCTCAGACACGGTGTTAGGTTTGATAGAATTAAGCCAGGCCCAAGTACCGGTGTTGGTGAGCAGTGTGTGGGCACGCAGTCAAGCTGACGTGTGGGCACTGATGATCGAGGTGTGGGCATACGGTCAGGCCAGGGGTGTCTGAGGTAGCAGCTTGTACCAAGTGCTAGTGTCGCGCATTGGGTGTGCGCACCAGGAGTTGAGGCCTGCGCCCCAATGGCCAAGGGTCGAGCACCGTACACAGAGGCGAGGGTTTCAGCAATAGTCATTGCTATCGCTATCCAGACCACTCGTCCGAAAGTCCAACCTGTTCGTGGCATCGGGACCAGGCCCACAACATGCCCGTCACCACATCCAAGTGGTCCC